GCTCGAGTGCTTTGCGTAATCTAATAAACCAAACCAAACCATTTATAACTAGGGAAAAGTAAAGTCATCTGGTGTATGTTAAAAGTTAAAAGAATGTTTTTTAACAAAACGTTATAAGGTATTTCTCTCGCCTTCTTGGCATGCCTTCGTGGTGTGGTGGTCTGCGTGCTGGGCGCGTATGCCAGAGATCAGAGGTTAAATTCCCGGCGAAGGTGTTGCTAATTTTTCATCTTGCCTGCCTTAAAAAAAGTCCTAATGTCTCTATAACGCTAAAGTGACCAGTTCCTGAATTTGTGAAATTCATCTACAAAATTGGGTTTCTTGCAAGAAAAATTACAAGAATGCATGATTTCAGTTGAGATGAATTCTTAGAATCGTTTAGAACAGGCCTCGGCAACTTGAGTTCTGAAAATAAAGTATTATATATAAAAATTAATATAAAACGAACGCTTGAAAAATACATAAAAAATTGAACTGATAAATAAATTATAACAACAATTTTGTTTGATTACAAACTTGCAGTAAAGTATATGCATTTTTATTTTTTAAAAGAAAAAAAAAGTGCATCATAATTTCAAGAAGATGCCCTAATCCATAATTCCAAAAAAATTCGCTTTGCCTTTTTTTATACATTCAGTTGAACTTATAAATTCTAGCAAATATTTTCGGACATGAAATTTATTTTAAATAAGAAAAGGATCAGCTTAACAAGCGAAAATTCAGATGCTTGTATTCGTCTTAAAACGATTAACTATAAGCAAGACTTGATTTAATTGACGTCGCAAGTTCAGCGTTAGGGGAGCCATTGATATCAAAGAAAAGCTAGAATTCATTCAGTTATGTTTGTTTTAATAATAATTATAATTATAACTGTTATGTTTAAAAGCGTATTGTAATTATTTTCTCAATAAAGCTTATTTTACTATAGATAAAAAAAGAACGTTTTAAAATGAAAATACCATCAAAACGTCTTAATACACACATTTTAGTCGATTTCAATCCGCAGCCAAAGAAAGGTTCTGATGCCTGGTTTTAGAAGATGAACTGACATAAGCAACCAACGGTAGACTTAAATCTAGTGTAGCTCAAGTGGAAGTCCTTTGATAGTTACGCGTGTCTTGAATTATAATAGCTAGGTAATGTTATTAATTTCAAGTGGTACGAGTAACCATCACCAGGAAATTTGGTAGGGCTGTCTGAGAACCACAACATTTATTAGAGAAATTAGAACAACATTTGCGGCGGAGCTTCGATACATGGCATTAAATGCATGATGGCACGGAGATTTGACAGCAAGAGAACTATATTAGGATCTCAGAGGTATCTGGAACAGCAGTTTCGAGGCAATCTATAAATAAACGCCCAGCAGAAAAGGCCCTTGTGGTTCTCTTTATCTGAACACAGCCCCCACTTTTGTCCTCTAAGAAGGAAAGTCAGCCTCTTAAGGAAATGGTTTTCTTGTATGGGAAGTTACCATGTGGACGACTGCTCACCGCTGCCTGTCTTTAATGAAGGTGCAATATTATAGGAATAAGAATCTTGAAAATTTTTTTATGGCGGGGACTAGGCATTTTAAGCTTTGGCCACTACTTAAAGATAGAAACGGCGGTCATTTTATTATGGAGTCGGCTAATAGGCGGCCACCGTTACTTTCTATGAAGCGACAGATAATTTAAATCCATGCCTTCTTCGGGATTGGAACGCTCGCCCTTCAGTGCGGCAAGTCAGAGTCACTAACCACTTTTCCGTCTTGGGGGCAGATTCTTGAACATTAGTAAGACGTTTCTGGGAAGTTGTTCGAGAGGATGTTAGTTTTATGTACGATGATGTTAGGCCACTCAAAGTTCAACTGCCCGGAGAATGACGGTATTCGCTGTGCTATTTGCCGTACTTAAAAACCTTATACAGCGTGCTTGAAAAAACTCTGCGAAGAGCAATTGCACGGCATTCTTCCCCTACCATGACTCTCCAGAGATTAAAATACTCGCTTGGAGAGCAATGGTACTTGTTACAAGCTATGATCAACAACTTCGCTTACAGTACGAAAGGCCTCTTGTGAGAGACATGCATACAGCTTGTGTGTGTTGGCCACATACTTTAGCCGGATCATTCCGAAAATATGAGGTGCCATGTTTGAGTTGTTTTGTTTCATTTGCATATTGAAAGACATCTACTCTCTGTTTTTTTATAATATTGCTGTGTTAGCTGTTACACAATTCTGGGTATCTGGGTACAAAATTCCATTACAATAAACCAGTTAGGTTTTGAAATAACTCATGTTTTGTGTTTGTAACTTTAATTTTGGACACTAGTATATATTCAGCTTATGCTATATCAATGCAAGGAGAATTAACTCTCTCTTATATGTAACTTTGTGCCCATAGAATTTCGATCAAATAAAATCTTCATAAATCTGGTTTTATTTGAAGCTTAAGTTTGTTACTATAATGACGTCGTTTGATATTAATATAATACACGAGTGATTGTTTAATTGGTTATTGCTCGCACTTATTTAATAGGCTGTTATGTTATTTAACAATCATTTGCAGCTAACAATTTAGGAATTTAGTTACGATTGTTTCGCATGAAGAGCGTGACAATTTAAAGAATATATACGTATTATTTATAGGCTGCAGTGTCAATGGCTACATAATATTTTTCTCAAGCAATTTTCATATTAAAATTCTATTCACAGATAAGTGCAAATACCACTGAACTAAGGATTATCCCGTGGAATTTCAAAATAAACCCTAATTACCACGACAAAAGACGTGCCAAATAATTTTAACACCTGAGCCAAATCCTAAGTATTGTGCCCCTAGATGCGCTGTTTAACTTCTTATATTTTAATTTTGGGAAATTTCTCATTTCTTTACTTCCTGTCCACACACTCGGTACGAGACTCAGACCATGACTAATATTTTTAATCCGTGAAGAATTTAGTATTTTAAGTTAGGTTAATATGGCAGCAGTGGACAATTAAACGCAATGAAGAATTTGCTATTATACTGCTTAGCCAGACAATGGTCAATGTTTTGCTAGATTGCTCCGAGTAGCTATTCCTTACAATATCAAGCTACTGTTTACAATACCAAACCCAAACTATTGCTTGAAATGACAAGCCACTGGGTTAGACATAGTATGCAGCAGGTTGCGATGAATGGATAGCTTAAAAATTTAAACATTAAGTATGAAATAAAACAGTCTTTGGTACTATTTTGAACATGCTATATATGTGATTAGATTGCTTTTCAGTATCAAAGTTCGTGAATCATAGTAAATTAATCTAGTGCTAAGAAAAATCTAATACTAGTCTTTCACCCCATTCTAGGAGACTAAATGGTTGTCTGCGTGCTGTTTTGGTGGTTTTTCGTATCCGTAAGTTAAATAAAGCCAGTTTATCTTAGGAACTTCCCCACGGAGGAATCTTAAATACTAGCGACCTCTTTTGTTTGAATCCTGGTAATACACACATAGTCGTTAACGTAATCCTTGCGAAATCATGTTGTTGCGAAAGTCTTTTCCTTCTTTTTCGAGAGTCTAATGTCCAAGAAGAAAGGTTGTCCTTTCTTTGGAGTAATATCACTCAAATGTATGATAGAGAAAAGTCAGTCGACAAATAAGATTAGGCTCTTCCCAACGCTGAAATCAAACGTAGGCACAAAAGGAGTAGTTGCTTTCGAGCAGAGTAAAAATCAGTGAGTCAGACATGAGCAAACTTTATAGTACAGTAACTTTAAGACAGAGCTTAGGTAAATAGTTATCGTGTGTTTTGCAGTGACTGAAAAACACATAGTCTTTAAGAATACTTAAACTTAATTACATAGTCCTAGAACAATCAATTAGATAAAGGGAGGTATCACACTGCCATATTACAGATACATTAGGTTTAAGTATTAAAATTCGTTGAATTAGAGATTGCACTGAATGAGGCGCAACTGTGACAGTAAACGATAAGGGATGGAAAAGGATTAATATTTGAAATTAAATTAAAAAATAAAAAATTCTACGGCCTTATTCACTATTTCAAAATATAAATTTACGATGATATATCTAAAAGCATTCACTTCAATGTGCCTTGGCGAGAAAAGCCGAAAACCGCACTTTTAGTCTAGAAAATCTTAAAATTAACTTTTGTTATAAACGGGAGATAAATGGACTTTTGAAAAATACTCGCTTCAGTTCCTAAGTTGAAAAGAGCAGAATTTTTTAATCTGATGTAAGGTGAAATATAAGGATTTCATGTCATATCTGTACACGTTCAAGGTCGAAATTTTTTTGACGACCACTTACGGTTTAAGCATTCGTCTAATCCTAGCCGAAACCATAAGTCATTTAGTAATCTCATTACCGATAATATTACTCAGGGTGCCTCATACGGAAAGGCCGAAATCCCAGCCACCAGGTGACAGGACATATTATACACATACAGTCAAGCCAAGTGAAAATCGAAACTGTATCCTTGGTTTCGATCTAGCAGTCAGCCTCTGTTAATCACTGTACCATCCAGGGATAATAAACGATACTCATTTAACACTACTAAATAAGATTATTTCTAAATGCAAGGCTGATAAAGAAAAAGTATTTCCTGAACGTTTTGAAGATTATTATGATTTTTATGACAATGTCATGCAATGCAATATAGTGCCTGTCTTTAAGTACTTGTGATTTTTTTAATCTTTAAAAATTTCAAGATTCCTTACCATATATGAGCCTATTTTTGAAAACAGGTAAAATTATGAACCAGAATTCATATATTACCTTAGAATATTCATCTTAGAGTAAGTGCAGCTTTTCCATATGAATATTTAATATAGATTTCAGGCAGAGCAACCATACCGGCGACAAAAGGTTTAAATTTCAGTTGACTGACGTAATGCTACGCAAAAAATAACTCAGGCGAAGGAAAGTATTATTATATGTGAAAGAACTTACAAGTAAAATTTTAATAAAATAATTCAACTGCTATTTTAAGCAAAACAGTGATTTTGGAAACTAACCTCTTGTCTAATTCCAACGATGATTGCGTAGATCAAAGGTGGGATTCCTGCAAGAAACAAAAATTAAGAACTCATAACCTAAGAACTGTAACATTTAGCTACATAATTACATGAATTACGTAAGTTTTCATTTCTATAACTATATAAATTAGCTTCTCATAATCACTTCTCTTATGAAACTTCCAAGATCATTATTTTATGTTCAGTTGATTTTCATCCACTAAGCACAGAAGCACACTGGCAGAAATTCTATGTACATTTCTTCAGTGATTATGTATTTCTTATGTGCAATCTTCTATAGTACTGCTGACAGTTCTGAAGTAGGTTAGGACATATATTGCCTTTCATACCTACACAAGGATTATTTCGAGTATTTTTATCAGTGGGAATTAAAGAAACAATATTTTTGAGCCCTTTTCTGCTTTTAAGAGGATTCTGGACACTGAATTGGAAAATTTCATTAAAACGTAGTGTTACAAATTTTGTATTTAAATGACTAATTTTAGCAGAATTATAATTAAAATTGTTTTATTCTCCCGTGCAATGGAGCATGGGATAAATTTTTAAGAGAAAGCTATGCCAAAAAAAGTAAAAATATACGTGCATTTAACATTGAATAAATGGGTATCTCTTTTATTTGGATTAAAATTGAATAAGTGTAATTATGTTAGCTGTAACCGTAATTCCATCCTCTTGTTGGTTTCCAAAAATCTCGAGAACAAAGAAATTACTTGAATTCTCCCGCGACCGATTGAAAGCTTTAAAAAGGCCGGTGACAGACAACTCGACTCATTTGTTTAGTTAGTTGCTGTTGTTATTTTTGCAAGTTCAGATCGGATTAGCTTTCTCTTTGCACTGCGTTGTATTCTAACGTTTTTAGTAGTTTAAAGGATAACTACTAATTATATTGTGAACATTTGTAAACATCTCTGAGAAAAATTCAAGCATTCTGTTATATTTCTTTTGATAAGAAAAAAATTAATTAACCTTTTATCGGACTTGTGCATTCAATCAATTACGAACCCGTACACAGGCAACAATGCAGCTGGTTGCAGCCTTTCCAGCATTTAAAGCAGAAATGAAAACTAGTCAAGAATTTATTAAAGGTGAGATGAGAGCAGTTCAAGCAGATGGAAGCTGGTCAATAATCAGTAAAAGAAGATAGCCATTCAAAAAAAGATAAAAGCTCGTCAAGAATCAGTTAAACAAGAGATGGAGCTAGCCAAGATTCCGTTAAAGAAGAGATGAAATTTGTTAAAATAGAAATGAAAGCAGGTCAAGAAGAACTGAAAAGAGAAATTACTTGCATAATAGAAAAGAAATTTGATGCTACCGAAGGCAGAATATACGCTGTTGAAAACAGAGTTGGACACATTGAAGAAGGAGCTTCTGTGAAAGAACAAATAGAAGGAAGAGTTTCTGCCGTCCAACAACAAATTGAACAACAAATTGAACAACAAATTGATGACAGAGTTTCTGCAGTTGCCAAAGAAGTTGGCACCTTAAAGAAATGTATAAGCGACAGCAGGAAGCAGTTCTGATTAAAATTCTGATTTAAATTTTTACCCCTACCTTCTCGTTCCTCGTTGAAGCTATCTACTTATGATAGTAAGATATTTTGGCAGGACACAATTTTCTATAGTGGCAGATGCGAATGGATGGGATTCCCAAGCTAAGGCCTGTCATCACGCCGCTTCTTTGAGAGTAGATGCAGCGGATATCTTTCAGACTCTTCCCGAAAACCAAAGGCTAGATTTCGAAGCTCTGACCGGCGCGCTGCAGCTGCGCTTCGGGGAGAAATGTTTGAAAGACTACAGAAGGCTTCAATTAAAATGCCGTCAACAGAAGAACACGAAAACACTCCAGGAGCTCGCCACGGATGTTGAAAAGCTCTCTCATCTCGTCTTTTCGGAATGCCCGACAGAAACAAGGGAAATCCTGACCCTGCAGTACTACATCAACGGCATCCGGGATCCTGAAATACAGAAGGCTCTACGAATGGCGGATATCAAGCACTTAAAACGCGTTGTAGTTTACGCTATGAAATTCGAGGCAGACCAGCAAGCAACGCGTAGAGATCGCCACCCAGTCATAGCTGCGCAAGTCCATGATTCAGTGAATCAAGTGATGGCACGTTTAGATGATTTATCTAGACAAGTCAGTGCTTTGATACGGAGTAGTAGTGAGAAGAAACTGGCCATAAAGTGTTGGAAATGTGGTACTGAAGCGCCACATTGCAGAACACTCCACGACACGAAAAATAAAACAGATGATTTGACCAGACAATTCAGTGCCTTGAGACGGAATAGGAGAAACCCGTTCTAAAGTGCTAGAACTGCGGTGTTGAAGGCCACGTACGGAGGAATTGCAAAGCACCCCAGAGTACGGAAAATAAGACCATTTCTCAGAAACGACTCGAGAAACAAATTAATGGCCATATCGCAGAGCGGAATTTGAAGGATAATGAGTAGCCCCGTTTCAAAACGCTTCAGATATCTGCAGTGAATGGTGGCTATAATGGACTCTATATTATGAGACATATTAATGGAGTTCCTTGCAATATGGTGATCGATACAGGAGCGAATGTTACCATCATTGGGAAAGATTTAGCTCAACAGTTTAAAGATGAACTCGTTTGGATGCCATTCTGTGCTAGCCTCCAGACTGCGTTTGGTGATAAAATCCACATAGATGGGAAGTTAAACGTAAACATCAGGTTTGGAAGTGCCGCCGACTATTACACGGCATATATATCAGATATTACACATCCTTTTATACTCGGACCTTCTAAGGAAATACATTCTTTTCCTTGGACTTTAAAAATAACGAACTGCATTCATCCTCTGAGGACATAACTATCCATCATCAGAAGGGATCCTCACCTGGAAACGCCGAGGCCTTGTCTGGAAGACCCTGCTAAAAAAGCTGTCGATATTACACTAGGGTAATAATAATAATAATAATAATTATTCTTAGCCTTCCTCGCCTCTCATTGGGCACTACAGGTCATTCGTTATTAATTAATTACAAAGCAAATTACATTTATAAATACAATTTGATGTTGGTTTTTCCAAACTTAATGAAACTTACATTGAAGAGTTATATTAGTGAAAACAAGTTTAATTAGTAATTTGAATATATATATGAAAAAGTGAGTTATTTTCATATTTATATAAGGCATGCTGCCTTTTACATATCGTCAGGTTTTAACCTGGTATGACTTGTATGGTGGTCTTGTTGTCATTGACGAAGCTGACAATCTGTCTTACTTCCTGGAGACCGTAGAAATCCGTTAGGTAACCTCTGAGACCTTTACTATGGAGTAGGGCGGTGTTGGCTGGAGATCTAAGCGACTTGGTGAGTGGGCACGAAGTGATGTAATGGAAGGCATCTGCTGTGCTGGCGGGTGATCCATAACTGCACTTGACGTGTAAATGTAGAAACCTCTCTAAATATTGGGAGAACCTTCCATGATTGGAAAGGGCCTGAACCGTGTAGTGGTTCGAAGTAAACTCTTGACAGCCTGACGATCGGGAAGATTGCGAAGGTGTATCTTCCGGTGTCCCCTTGTTCCCATCTTCCTCTTGCCATTGTGACATGAAAGCCTCTTGGAATGTGATGCTTGGCTGCTCTCGTGGAGATCGGAAGGGAGATATCTAAGTCTTGGCGAGATGTGGCGGCCTTTGCGAGAATGTCTGCCCGTTCGTTCCCTCTTGTCCCTTGATGACCTCTTACCCAGTGAAGGGTGACTTGCTTTGTATTACTCAGAGTAGAGACAAGCTCTTTTAGGGATTGAATATGCGCTGGAATCTTGCCTGTCTTATTCATACTCCATAGGACGCTCATACTGTTTGTGTAGATAGAGATCTTGTTAAAATCTAAACTGCTTGCCCAGAGGGCTGCTTTCCTAAGTGCTAGGGACTCCGCTTGAAAAACTGTGGCATGATCTCTGACTCTGAAGTGATCTTGAAAAGTTTCTTGACTATTGTGGAAAACTGCGAAAGCAGCGCCTACTCTTGTGTCGTCTTCAGACCCGTCGGTAAAGATCTCTAAACCTTGATCGGACGGGGATGTTTGTCCCATCGGAAGTCTCTGAGGGAGGCTTGATGTAGGGAGGTTGTACTGAAGCATGGTTCTAAAAGTGCTTCTTCGAGGAGAATGGAACCCTCTAATGTTCGCTGATTCTTTGAAGTGTAGAAGTCTGTATGTGATTCGCTCGAATTCCGCTTTGAGATCTAATGAGAGTGTGCCGGCTAGGATCTGGAGGGCGGCAGTGGAGGTGGTAGTAAAAGCTTTTGTAATCTTTAACAGGGCGATCCTCTGGATTTGTTGTAGTTTTTGTCTTTGTCTTACTGTGCCCTGCATCCATACGGGGCAGCCGTAGAGACACTAGGGTAATAGAGAAACATGACCTGTTGAGTCCGGTTACATGACAAATTACAACATCATCATCGGCTGATCGGAATCCGAGGAGTGATGATGAAGTCAGAAAAGACCAGCTGGAAGACTGCGACATTAGATCCATAATTGACGTAATTGAGTCCTCAAACAGAAAACCTACCTGGCAAGACATTTCGATCTAGTCCGACGACAAAACAATACTATGCTCTCTGTTACTCACTCCACATTCGAAACAGCGACTTATACCGAAAATTTGAATGATGGAAAGGCTTTCCGATGGCAGCTGATAATTCCAAGATCCTGGATGTCCTTAAAGAATTACGTAGCAGCCCTACAGGAGACCACGTTGGAACAATAAAGACTTTGCAGAGGGTTCGTGAGCGCTTCTATTGGAGTAATGCAAAGGATAACGTGCAAAATTGGTGCCGAACTTACGATGTCTGTGCGGGTTGGAAAGTAAGTAATGCACGAAGTAATGCAGCCGGGCAAGTTGCAACGTTACAACATAGGAGCGCCTTTCGAACGTATCACCTTTGACATCTTGGGACCTCCGCCACGAACTGCTGCTGGCAACAAATACATTCTCGTTGTCATTGATTACACCACCAAGTGTCCTATTCCTGATCAAGCTGCTCTCACAATAGCAGAGGTAATAATACAGCACTGGATTTCCAGGTTCGGAATGCCTCTTTAGTTATATTCCTCTCAGGGAAGGAATTTTACCTCGGCTGTAAAGAACTCTGCAAGCTACTCGGCATCGAAGAAACTCAAACGATGCCTTTACATTCCTAGTCAGACGGCATGGTAAAGTGGTTTAATCCAACTATCCTTAATAACCTCTCATTGATGGTTTCCAGAAACTAACAGGACTGGGATAAGAAGTTACCACTGTTTTACTGGCTTACCGCAGTACTGTTCATGAGACTACCGGCTATTCCCCATCTCAGATGCTCTTCGGTCGTGACCTTCGTCTGCCTCTTGTTTGGTCGCCCTCCGGATGCACCTTCATCGCCTGAGGAATAACATCCAAGATCTCCCGGCCCGGTTTGAAGTGATACACAAATTTGCACGAGAGTGAGTCAACTTGGCGACATGGAAGATGAAGACCCGATACGACACGAGAGCTACTGGACTTCGATTCAACGAAGGAGACAAGGTGTGGTTGTGGAATCGATTCGACGAAAGGGACTCTATTCTAAGCTATCATCACCTTCAGATAGTCCGTACACAGTCCTAAACAGGTTGAATGACGTCCTGGTTCGGATCCGTAATGTGGAGACGTGCTTAGTTCAACTAAACGTTGCCAGTCTAGTAACCCATAGCAAACAAAAAAAAATTAATGTTTATTCTATTCTATTGTTATAAATATCAAATCTGTCTCAAAAATTGTACTACCATACGTAAGTAATCGAACTCTAAACCTAAAGTCGTTCATTACGACAGATTAGCTCTTTAATAAGGCACGTAGTGTATATAGTTATAAATAGTATTGTAAATAGTATAAGACCATGGTCCTTTTTGTTTATAAATTTATAAATTTGTGCACTCATTTATTTATTTAGTACTTAATTTGCTTTAAATTACTTATTGTAATTATTTTTTATGTCGTTTGTTATTGTAATGTAACTTTTATTATTGCACTGATGCCTTAGTTGTAAGTTTGGCTTCCTGTCCAGGGATTGTACTGCCCGGGACGCGCAGTACTTGGGAAGGGGCAGTGTTACGAATTTTGTATTTAGATAGCTAATTTTAGCAGAATTATAATTAAAATTGTTTTTTACCCGTGAAATGCTGCCCATGATAAATTTTTAAGGAAAAGCTACGCCGAAAAAGTAAAAGTATGAGAGCGCGGCATTTAACATTGAATAAATGAGTATCTCTTTAATTTGTATTGAAATTGAATAATTGTAATTATGTTAGCTGTAATAATAATTCCATCCTCTTGTTAGTTTTCAGAAGTCCTGAGAAGCAAAGAAATTACAAGAACTCTCTCGCGACCAATTGAAAGCTTTAAAAAGCCGGAGAGAGACATCTCATCTCAGTTGTTTAGTTACTGTTATTACGATTTGTTTTAGTTCTATGAGAACGGAGATATCTGAATTAAGTTTCTCTTTCTTTGAACTGAATTGTATTTTATCGTTTTTAGTTTAAAGTACAGCTACTAGTTGTATTGAGTTCTATTTAACGTATTTGCTTTCTACTGAGTATTACTGCCTGATAGTTAATCGCTAGATATTTTGAATATTTGATGCAATAGACTTGTTTGCAGTGAACGATTAAAATTTTAAACAACTGAAAAATGATTTTGCAATTGAACAGTTTGATTCATAACGTATCATTGACACTAAAAAGATGAAAATAAAAAAAAAGGTTACTACGAAATAAGCTTTTACTTAGAAATTTAATAAACTAGACGTATAGAGATAATTTATAATGTAATTAAAAAGGAATTACAGATTAAATAATTACCTTTAAAAATCATCTACAATATTGTAACACGAATAATAAAAGAGTGGGCTCCCAGATAACTAAATATAATAATGGAACAGCATTGTCAAAAGTATAGGCCATTAGTTTATAAATTTATCAAAATCACCCCATGCTTTTACTATTCGTTATACAAAGTTGTAAAGGGATTTTGTAAAGATAATTACTAAACCTCTTGTTTCCTTTAAATTAATAGATAAATAATTTCTATAATTTAGTTCATTAATTTATTGAATAAAACTTACCAAAAAACTTTTAATTCATTTTTTACTTTTATGCTAAATGGTCAAATACAGTTTCGATCATTTAAATATATACAAGATTCAATATCTATGAAAACTTCTTTTCTGTGATAATATATATATCATTAAAGCAAAATTGTATTATTAATACACTTAATGATATTTAATATTTCATTTCTGTTTCTATCCTTATTGATTAAATTAACTGTTTGAATAGGTTAAATTTGGACAAATTTTTCACGTAAGATGCGGATACTAACAACAGACGAGCCGCCCACTTTTGTTTAGGCAATGAAACGCAATGTAATGAGTTAAAAATTCATTATTTTTCATTTAAATAATATTTAATAACTATATTTATCTTTTTCATTGAGCCTTTTTTATGTCATTTCATATTTATTTTACCCAGCATGTAATATAAAAGGAATTGCTAAGCTTAAAGAGAGCTAATCATTTCCTTTCATTGTCACAATGCTCAGAAATACGAAAATTCTTAACAAATATATTTTGGAAACTTATCATGAAATAAGAACCTAATTAAAAAAGTCCTTACCTAAAATAAAGAAAATACCCATACATTTTAATAAATCAGAATCGAGCTGGATTTTAACAGGTTTCGGAAAAAGAATCGATCTGACGAGTTCTCCTTTCACAGTTGAAAATCCTGAAAGAATGAAATAATCAGATTAGATCTATTTATTGAGTTCATATAACGTTCTAAATTAGTCTTCCTTTGCTCCTTAAGAATAATAAAATAAAGATAATTCAAATAATACGTTAATGTAAATGTAGACTACGTAATGAATCTGTTTTCAGTATATATTAAGTTCTCTCCATTATTTCTTGTATTATTTAATGCATTTTTGCTTATAACTAAAGTAGATATTTATTGAAATAAATTTGTCGAAGAATAAATTGCGGCCAATCTCATTTAGAAATCATTTCTCATTCTATCAAGAAAAATTTGTACCTCATTTATTTCAAATTACAACATAAATAGAATTTTTATATTATTTGTCTTATGCTGAACCATAATACACTGCTGACGATTAAAACTACAACACCAGGAAGGAATGATCAGACGAACGTCAAAATCACATGAAAGGAAGAAGAGGCTGGGATATGCAAATGATTAGAATTTCAGCTCATTTAGACGACGCAGGGGGGAGAAACGACATCTGAAGCACTGCATAAAATAAAAGTTGTGTAGTGGATTTCTCATTCGGAAAGTGCTTTGTTAGGTTAAAGTTTGTGTTATGCCTCGAATTAGAAGAGGAAATGCGTACCAGCAAGTGTCGGAATTCGATAGAGACAGGATCGTTGCCTTTCGAGAGTGTAGATTATCGTTCCGTGATATCGTCCGTCGTACAGGTCGTGATATACCCAACTACTGTCATGCGAAAATGGAATCAATGGATTGCTAAAGGCCATACGGAACGGCATGCACGATCTCAACCCCCTTTTATGACTAACGCCCGAGAGGACAGACATATTGTGAGGTTAGCCCTGCAAAACTGTACAACCATATCACGGACAATTACTCAGGAAATGGGCACGTTTGCAGTACGCCCAGTATCAGTTCGTACGGTGCGTCGACGTTTGCAGCAGCATGGACTGTCAGCACGGCATTCGGCTTCTCTTGACAATGCAGCATAGAGAGAAACGGCGACTCTGGCTCGCCGCAAGACAAAGTTGGATACAGGTGTGTCACAATGTCGTCTTTTCAGACGAGTCCCGGTTCTGCGTGCAGTGTTCTGATGGCCGTACACGTGTCTGGAGGCTGGAAGAGACCGACGTCGCCTCCTTGCATTCGATCGTGGCCTAGAGGCCCTGCACCTGGTCTGAAGGTTTGGACAGCCATTGGGTACACGACACGCACATCTCTAGTTCGGATCGACCATAATTTGAACGCAGATTGGTACATTTCTGACATCTTACGTCCAGTGGTTGTGCCCTATATTCGAGGTCTGCCAAACGCCATCTTCCAACAAGATGATGCAAGACCACATGTTCTACGCTGTGTTCTAACCTTCCTCGATACGCAGGGTACTCAATTGTTGCCCTGACCTACAGATCAGTCACAAATTGAAAACATCTGGCCATGGGGGGTCGCTGAGAGACTGGTCCACCACCTTTCTTCAGCTAATGCGGTTGATAAAGTGGAGCATAGAATTGAAGCAGCATGAAATGAGTTGCCCTTTTCTGTCATCCAATCTCATTTCGACTCCATGCCTAAGGTAGAGTAAGGGCTGCTTTAGCTGCCAGGTATGGCAGCTGATTCTATTAATTTCGCACGCCGGTATACCCTAAAATTGCTTACGAATTTAATCATTCCGTCTTCCTGCCATACTGTTTAAGTACAATAAATATATTTTTTCTGTACTTGCTTTTCTTAATGCTGTTTCAATTTTAATGACCAGCAGTGTATTTTATTCTATGCGACGAATGTAACAGCATCACTGCAAAAGTCCCCCACTTCTCAAGTTCTCGCAATGAATCGTTCTACTAAACTTGCGAATTCCAGGTCGTTGACATTTCATTCAGTAAAGTTATAAAGTATTTCTCCCACTTCCCTAGCGTGCCTTCTTGGTGTAACGGTAGCCCGCTGGGCCGGTATTCCAGAGGTCCGTGGTTCGATTCCCGGCGAAGACGGTTGCATATTTTTCATCTTTTCTGCTTCCAGTTAACCTAATGACTCTACAAGTGGCGCCCGAACTAAAAGGGTTGTGGATGATGATTCTCCGCACCCAGGATTTGGCGACTAGGTCCCCTAAAACCCTAGTCGCCCTTTAAAAACGGGAGTATATAAGGTATTTATCCCAATTCTCTAGCGTGCCTTCGTGGTGTAACGGTAGCACGTTGGGCCGGTATTCCAGAGGTCCGTGGTTCGATTCCCGGCGAAGACGGTTGCATATTTTTCATCTTTTCAGCTTCTGAAACACCTAATGACTCTACAAAGTCATCTAGCTCCTACACTAAATAGATGTTTTATGTCTTTTTGACACAGCTCTCTAAAATTTGTAAACATTCTAGTTTATACAAATATTTATCAAAATTCTCGGGTTAGCTCAGTCTTTTTTTTATTTATTCAATCAAATGCTTTTAGATTTAGCCTGATTTTCTATATCAAACACCATTTCTCTCTCTCTCTCTTTTTTTTTTTTTTTTTTTTTTTTGGAATAAAACTATTTTAACAGATCCTCTCCCCCCTTAAAAAATAAAAACAGAAGTCTCCTTTGAACTTTTATTATTCTGACTGTTCTATATTAAAGGTTAAGATTTGCATATGGCAGTATTTTATAAACTACATAAATAGAGATTTGTTGCTTTACGTATAATAAATCCACGCAAAGCAACTAAGTGATTTTTATCGAAGAAAGAAACTAGTAACATATTCGGATTTTACAGAGAAAAGTGGAAGCCATCGGAATTATAACAGGCCTGAAATATCACAGGAACCAATGCCGAAAGCTAAATTTGTCTGTAAATTCAAGTTTTCAGTCGCAGATAAATACTTTAGAATGGTACGAAACACAAGTAGCTACTTGGAAGTATTCCAGCGGACATTAACTGCACCATTCGCAGAGACAGTCATTGTTAAGAATATAAAATTTGCGTATACCCAAGAACCAGTCGATGTTGTAACACTGTCTGTAAATGCTTCTACAGTAGGCAGTTGACGGGAGACGGAGACATCACTATTGCACCAAGAGGTTAGGTGATGTTGTCTCCTGTCTCCACATATCTAACACTAGGAGATGTAGCAAAAACACTTTAAGATATTGTTGCCGTCGTGCCTCTGGACGTAATTACATGGTTTACATAATTTCAGATGCTCATATAACTTTACAGGAGAACATACACTTAGTATAGTACACATTACACGTTTTACAAAGAGAACTCTTTGCAAACTTTACAGAAATTTACAAACGTATATTGCAGGACATCGAAATACAGAAGTAGTACAGACAATTAAACTTCTAGAAATAAACTGAGTGAATATTAAATTCTTACTCTAGGCACTGTTCCTATTAACTCCTCCCCTCCAAAAAAAGAAAGGGGGAAAATGAAAAATATTATATAACGAGGCATAGGTCAGCTACAAATATTGTAAGCTTGTTGATAATCTGAGCGATCCTTGCCACCAGATGACGTTGTTTCATCATACACTTGTGTATTTCTACTGGAGATTTTAACATAGTGCTCACTGTTAAATGGGCAGAAGGTAAGATAATGATCTGGGGTACAAATTTCTCCCCAGGCACATAGTCTAGAGATGTACAAAAAATACTCGTCTTCTGGTCGGTGGAATTATGGTTGCATTAGTAGCAGCTTAGAAATATATTTCTGATTTCAATAAATCCTGGGCAATTACCTACTACCCTGAGGACGCAAACATTTCATATTCTCTTCTACAAATACTTTGAAAATGTTTTGCGCAGTTTTAGTATTCTTGACTATTTTCTATAGAGATAAGTTGTAATCACAAAGAATATTTAGAATGACCATATTCAACAGACGTTATCATGAGACAGGTATTCTACAACCACTCTTTAAAGAAGAGAAATTAAATATGTGCAGTACTGAGATGAATAAACTGTGGATTATTCAGAAAAGTATGTCTTATTTATCAGTGAACTTACAAAAGAAATGGATAAGAAAACTGGCATATGTCGCTTTACGATATCATATATTCTTGAAAGAAGAAAAAAACTCTCGATGCCGCACCAAAGAAATTTTGAACGTCTGAGATCCTGAAACGAACTCTTAGTAACTGTCATTTACGGATTGTTAGCCATTCACATACTTTGACAAGCCAAAACATTATGACTATCCCCCAATTGTTCAATGAACTGGTGAAGGGCACGTTGAAAAGCGGGAGTGGTATTTAACTGCTGCTTGTAGAAGGTAAAGTGTAACTTATTGACTTGCTTGCTTCATACACTCAAGCTCTTCTCTGTGCAATGCCGGATCATTTATGATCATCTTGCCCTCTTTCGTTTTCACGCACTGTACTCCCTTTTGATTCTGCCTATTATGTTTGAAACTATGTTATGCGCCTTTATGGCAATATTTATCACAGATCCGGACACGTCGCGCTACGCGCAAGATTCACGGAATATTCTGGTTCGATTCGATCCGATTCGTAAAAGTTCTTCTCAGTGCGACCCGCCCCTCCATTGGAGCTTCAGTATCACTTGGCCAACCAAGAACTTCGCCATCAAGCAGGAACTCACATTCACAGTCAAATGTTATTGTAATGCTATAGATATTACACGGTAACAAACGATTACCACCTTCTTCCGCTTCAATGGTTCCGTTCTCGCTGACTGCAACCAGTCATGAGTCTTTAATTCCACATGCCATTTGGGCTCTATTTCAACGGAGCTGATAACGTCGCGCTTTGCACGATAAATCAGTGATACTTTACTACCGGTATATGATAAAGCATTCATTCTTGCACTTAACTTTTGCGATTGATGAAAAAGGCTGCTGACCTAAGAAAATTTCATAGAGGGTTGATTGTAAAGTCCCGAAGACTCGGAAGGAATATCTCCGAAACTGAACGACTGGTAAGTTTTTCACGATTTGCATTTATTAGGTTTTGTGCAAAGTGAATAAATCACGGTGAAACCAGCAGTAAACGCTAAGGTGTTGGACGTCCACGCGCCATCAAAGAAAGAGGACGTCAGAGACTTTCCCGCTTGTTACAACATAATCGGCCGGCTAAGCTAGTAGTTTAATACAGTGCAGGTCAAAGTGTGTTTCGGAACAAACAGTTTAGTGGATACTGTTGGCTATAGAACTACACAGCAGACGTAACACTAGTATGCCTCTGCTGACCAGGCCTCATTGTCACTTGCACCTACAGTGGGCACGGGAACATCGAGAGACCATGGATAAGACCTGGTTCGTGATTCATCCTGGTTGGATGAATCACGATTTCTCCGTATGAAAAATCGTGATTCCTCCAACCATGAGAAATCGCGATTCACTCAGTGATGCAAGTATATCATTAATATGTTTTCATCATGTCGATGGTCGTGTCAGGGTACTCCGTCTTACAACAACAACAACAACAACAATTTAGGCTTCCCTGCCTCGTGCACCAAATCACATTACAGGTCCACTCTCCCTTTGGGCACGTCGTGGAGGTTCAACCTCCACTATTACCCTCCAAGGGAGCGGCGCACCACCTGGATAAGACACCAGGCAGCACCGGTCGTCTAATGCTCCTACCAGTCGCTTGGGCGAGCCCGTCGCAGCGGGACAGTACCCAGCGAACCCGGGGGAAAACTCCCGGGCTACTAGTACCAAGCCGCGCTAGGACGTGCCAGACTCCGAGGCCGGCCAACAAGTAATCTTTCCCAGAGCCTTCAGAACCACCAAGTTCACAAATTTTATACCCCCGTGGCCGAGACTGCCTAGGTACAGATCCTAGCCAGTAGCTTCGCAGAGTTCTCTACGTCGACCCCCGGGGGAGTTACTTCCCTCTGGACAGCAGGTCGTACACAGGCTGGTGGTGGTGGTAGTAGCTTTAGGGGACGTTTTCATGGGTGGCTCTTGGACTCTTAGTAGTTGAAGAACAGACCACGAAAGCTGCGGACTATCTGAGCATAATTGGAGATCAGTTGCACTCTTATATGGATCTGTCTACCTAACTGGAACTGGAATCTTCCAGCAGGACAATGTCACAAGGTACGATTTATGTTGGGGTGGTTCGAGCAGCGTAAGGATGAATTCCAATGAATGTCCTGGCCACCTAACTCTCCGAATCTTAACCCGATAGAGCAGATTTGGGATGTCATGGAGCAGCGGCAGCTCAGATCTCAGACATCATCATATCGAAATATCTCGACTTTGCGGGACCACTGCTTAGACATTGGTACAACCTATCTCCAGTCATCTACCAAGAACTTGTGCCATCTATGCCAAGACGAGTTGCAGCTGTTTTGCAGGCCAAAGGTCGCGCAAAACATTGTTGAGTAGGTGGTCATGATGTTTTGGCTCTTCAGTGTATAATGTGTAACTTTCTTTTATAAACAGCAGAAATCAGAATTTGCGCGACAACGCTCTTTCTTATAACGAGTGTTATAATTTAAGCCAAAGTAAACTAAACGGAGAATTTTTGGTACTAATGGCAAGGTTTTTCCTAGATGCATTCCGCTATACAATTCGTTATCATAAAAATGAAGAAAACGTTCAATACATTACATCACAATTTTTGCAATAATACTCAAAAGTACCTGTTCTGTAGACTACTGCTTTAACGCCTGTTCCATCTATATCTCTAGAGTTCATGAGTTCTGTACCGCATGACAAAAGCGATCTCTTGTGGGTCATCGAATTATATTCTGCTTTGATATCCTTTTCGATTTGCACTTTGGTTACTGGTATACTTTCTCCTGCAAAATAAATATAACATAGCGATTAAACTTTTAATGAAAAAATTGATGCTATGAAAACCTGACAGCTGTTAGCTGAATGTGTGGCTAAAATGATATGCCAATTCTGAATCATTAATATATTTTCGGCGTTTATGTAGAGACCTACATCAAACATCTGAACTCATGTGCTGTATTTCAATGTTAATTTTCTAATACTTTTAACAGCGGAGCATCCGCCACGTCAAATTACTTGTTTTTTGTTGAATGTAAAAAAGATAGTTGTGTTCTTTTATCCAAAAATCTGGCGGAAAGTGCAATAGATAGTGGAGAAATCTATAGCGGTTAATTACATTTTGAGAAGTTGAACTTAATCTGCTACGAGCAAACATTTTAATAGTGAGCACCATTGATGTAAACATTCAGACCATTCATATTCATACATTGAATTTAACGATTTCTAGATAGATCATGAAGATATGTCATATATCTTCACTTCATTAAGCTAGTGATCAAAATTATGTGAGCTGTAATTTATGTGCTCTCTAAAAGTTCCACAAATTTAAAAACTACTCATTTTTCTAGGCAAAATACAGGTGATGATATTAGCTGATGGATGTTACTAAAGTGATACTAAATAACTTCTGATTAGAATTTAAAGCAGACGCTTATTTGTGGAAAAGATAAGTTGCGCTAGATCTTTGTTAAATATGTATAGCATACACATTCTTACTGACATTGGTACTGCAGTTCTTACAGAAATCATAAGCTCCGTACCAGCGAAAGTGCTTATACTCAACTCTGGATAATCACTGAGTCTCCCCTTCTGTCGAAACAAATAAATGTACTAGTTTTTAAAAGCAAAATTAATTGTGTTTGCTATAAGTTATATTGTATAAAGACGTGCCTTTTGAAGCCCTTTCTGTTAAAACATGCATATTCTGCAATTTATACCTCTCAGATAATACTGAAAGATTTTAAGGCAGTTAAGAAGATGTCGTTCTTTGTTATTTACAGCTCTTTTGCTTGTTATACGAATCTGTGACTGACCTTGATAATTTGCAAAGGCGAGTATCTTTTGTATTTTGAAATAATATATAAACTTTGGGAATACTATCCTATGATTTGTACATTTAATGCCTATGCTTTCTACCTTTGTACATTTCTTAATTCCCGTGAATGACTGACTAGATAAAACCGCTGAGCACTGGAAGTTCTACTCGAAATTTCGAATCACAGTGAAGGAGCTGACTAAATGGATGTTTCTGTATGTTTATTTATGTCTAACGTAAATACGACCCAGCTTCCTTTCGAGATATTCCTCTTCCTGGGTAAAAAGCCTGTCTGCTTTGCCATTTTCAATTAAATAATCAAAACAGTTTAGCTCCGAATTGTTTTTTTTATTCAAAAATCCTTCACATTTCTTTATCTGATTCACTGAATACGGTGAAGCACATGTGGGCTATCTGCCCAAGAGAGGGTTCCCTTAATCTTAAGTCTTTATGAGGATTAGGACTACTTAACTGATTAAGCCGACAAGGACTAAAAACCTAACGGGGGAGATGCCTTCGGGGATGACATTTGAAGAAAAATTGTCTGGAATTCATAGTTCACATGGGAAAAATCACGAACACTACCATGCAACAGCCCGTTCGTCCGGCTTAGAACTAAGGTCGAAATATCAGTGTTCAATGATCTATCTTCTTAGCCATTGTAACTGGCATATGGTTGTTGCATTATACGAAGAAACTAATTTAATCTCCGAAATAGTCTCATTTATTTATTATTTGTCGAACCTATATTTCAGCGAAGAATATGGTTGTCAGACCCTCAAGGAGGTTAGAGTACAAACTTCCACTTTAATTTAGAGGGACAGAACGGCATGCGGTGGTCCTGACATTTTCCACCCCTCTTTCCTACGACCAAATCCCACGAGAAAACTTCCGGCTCGCCATATACACTCATGTCCATAAATTAAGGATAATGCAAAATCAGGCAAAGGAAGAGTTAGAAGCAAAACAAATTTGACTTATTTGTAAAGCTTATTTATTAAACAAAAGGTAAAGAGCAAAAAAAGATGTTATATGTTTGATATTATTAAAAAAATTAGCGATTTTTTTCCCCTGGAGCAAATTACATAAAACACCTATTTACAAAAAAAACAATATTACATGGTTGGTATGATTGTTAATACATTGTATGTCTCACAGACGATGCGATACAGTCCGTACAAGGCCTAGGCATGCTGAGTATCAAATTATCGATCTGATTTTGGGGGATATTACACCACTCAAAAAGCAATGCTCTCCGAAGTTCTGGTAGACATGTAGGAGGAGGTTGACGGGCTGTAACTCGTCGGCCAAGCATGTCCCACACGTGCTCTACTGGATTGAAGTCCGGTGAGAATGCTGGCCAGTCCATACGGGTGATATCTTCCGATTGAAGGCATTCGCTTACGATGTTTGCACGGTGAGGACGGGCGTTGTCATCCATAAACACAAATTGTGCGCCCATGGCGCCTCGAAACAAACGTACATGTTGTTCCAGAATGACGTCACGAAAGATTTGGCTTGTCATGGTTCCAATTTGAACATGCAGGTCAGTTCTGGAACCCAGAATAGTTGCACCCCAACGAGCACTCCTGCACCACCGTAACGGTGTCGTTTGTGGTAACGGGTACCTGGAGCTCTCCATATGAAAGTCCGGCGAGAATCAGACTGCAAGCTAAACCTGGACTCGTCGGAAAACATCACACAAGCTCACTGTTGCGCTGTCCACAATGCATGCTCTCTACTCCAGGCTAACCGCAGCCGACAGTGAGTTGCAGTAAGTGGAACGCATTGGACAGGTCTACGAGCATATAGACCAATCTGCCCTAAGCATCTATACACGGTCTGCCTTGAAATTGTCGTACAAGTGGCTGAAGAGAGCTGACGAGACAGGTCTGAGGTTGTGCTGCACCTGTTTCTTTTGGCAGTAATTGCCAAATACCGGTCCTCATTCGGCTTTGTAACTCTGGGGTGACCTGTGCCGTAACGTCTGCTCACATTACCATCATCTTGGAATCGTTGCCTGGAGATGACACTATGGGCAATTCCAAGTTCGTCTGATACTTCCAGTTGGGTACGCCCACATTCCAGACGGCCGATAATTCTACCACGTAAAAAATCATCCAAATGCGTCCTTTGTGTCATAACTATTCGGTTATTGCACTGAAATGCTTATAAAGCGCCTGCGAACACTTTTACTTCTTTGCCTGTATTCCTTCGTATATTCCTCTCTTACACTCTCGTCATTGTGACGTACCATCGGTGTCATCTGGTTACTTCCTGAAATTTGCATATGATTCTTGAAGATGTGTGTAGGGATTTTACAGGTGATATATTTATTTTAGACTTCGATTTCCGCATGACTCCGAATTATCCTTAATTTATGGACATGAGTGTATTTAAAGTGCTCCCATAACGCAAATGCACTATACATTTACATTCATGCCTTTTTCCTGGATTGAAACTCGGGGTCTTCGGTACGGCACTTAGAGTCACTAACCACTATCTCGTCTGAACTGCGAAATAGTATTATATATGTGACACATATTTGCACACTGCTCTTCAGCTAATTTCAGTAATTATCAAATAATTCGACATGATATGCCTAAATTTTGTTTTATGCTTAGCATACCCAACGATTGCCTTGAGAAAATGTTTCAGAACTTTCCATTTAAGCAGTCGAAGATTTAATTAACTTTGTTTACTCTATGATTTATTGCTTCATAATTAATCGCTTTAACAGTTTTTTTATAAATTTCTCTTGAAAACATCATTGAGTTACTTGTGAGTAGTATCATATCTTATACGACATATTATAGGTTTATAGCTTTCGATCTAATACATGTATTTATAACTTACATTTTTAAATAATACATTTAGAAATGAGACATACCAGTCAGCATACTTTCATTCATTACACAGGTTCCAGAGAGTAGCACTGCGTCACACACCATAGTGAAGTAAGATTTTGGAATCAAAATCACATCTCCCGGAACTAAATCCTCAGAGGAAATTTGTAATTCTGTTAGTGAAAATTTATAGAATATTAGATGACAGAGTTCAAGTTATCAAAGCAAGCTAAAAATTGCACACGGAAGTATCGAACTGATTGATACATTTAATGTAGTGGAACATAATAACCGTATATTTTATAAATCCTGAGATACACTTATGAGTATCAAAATCTAGTTTTTTAGCAGTGTCACAGGTCTTCTATATAAACAATTTCGTCCAGTTTCCTCAGTAATATTTTTATTTAATTTTCTTACTATACTTCCCAGAAGATCCTTAAACGTTACACAGATTACAGCTTTTCATTTTCTACACACTAAAATCTTAAACGGTAAATAATTTTTATCCTTTTTTTTTTTTTTTTTTTTTTTTTTTTTTTCAATCGAAACGTCACTTTTCCCCCGCTTTAAACGAGAATAGTAGTAGAGGAAGGTGAAGCGAAGCATAAGTTGTAAGAATGATTTGTTCATAAGCCAAATATTAGGAGGAGTATAAATTATTTCAGTATCAAAAGACAACTTGTTCTCTAGTAAATAATTCAAAACAAAAATAGCAATATATTTTTAAAATTCAATTAAAATTTAATTTTGAAAGTGTCATTTGATCAAATTTTATTTGTCATTTGATTTACTGTCATTCTCAGTACGGCAGGAGATATATAGAAGATGTTTACATATTTTTAGAATAATTTCCACAAAGTATTATAAAAAGCAATTGCTTTGGCATAAAAATTTTTGGAAAGAGATTATTTGGAATGAAAATTGTCGTGTACTACTTTTAAGAGTATTTTTTGCTTAAAATATTCTATGTAAACAAGCTGTGGTTTGAAGGATGTGTTCCTGTGCTTTCCGAAAAGTAATATTCCTATTCCATTATTCAAATACGTTGTGAAATGCACGATATCAAAATTTCTGCGCCCCCCCAAAAAAAAGCATTAATTAGAGAGCGAAAAACCGACAGTCATTATTTCTATATGGAAAGAAGCTTCAAAACTATCATCCGCAAACGATACGTATTGTCTCTGTTGCTTCTAAAATTACATCATTGGTAACAACAGAAAACAAGCCGAAGTAGAAATCAGTTGTAAAGTTTTCAAATACATCATCTGTAGCAACAATAAATAAAATAATAACCAAGATTTACAACTTTAAAAAGCTATAAACATAACGTTCACAACTTTTGCCGAGGCATGTGGCTCAACGTCGAAAAATTTGTAGAACCATGTATAAAAACTATCTGAAACATCGTTTTACCTAAATGACTGCAACAGAAAGAGGTCTGTTTATTAACGAATACACAGAGATAAAATGTGTAAATCTGATTCCGCAGTGTAAAGAAAGTTTCAGTAAGGGGATCATGAATAACAATTTAATTATTATAATTTTAATCAATTCGCAACTTCTGCATTTTCTAAAGCGCCTAACTACTATTCAAACAAAAGCACTGGATCCGGTTTTATCGGAGCAAGAAACGTCTGGCTGAGATTCATTCAGCGTTGTGGAAAAAATGAAGGATCATAGGATGATGTGATTAGAAATGTTATGGAACTTCTTAGTTAGAAGAAGACAGAGGCAAACACGCAGAACAAGCTGCCTAGTTAAAAAAGGAATTACGAACCTTTTATACTATTTTTCTTAGTTATGCTTTAAGAATCTGATAGCACAGACCTAATTCGTTTTTAAGCTCACGATTAAAATACGAAGTTTTCACTTGTAATCAATTTCTGAAGAACTCTGCTCAATTAAAACACTAGCATAAACAAGAATTGCTTTAAGATCATCACCCTGCACGAAAGTTTTAAAGCTACAAGAATTTATTACTTTATAAGGTATTTTCTCCCTCCTTTCTGCATGCCTTCGTGGTGTAACTGTAGAACATTTAGTGTCGGTAGCTAACTTTTGTTGTATGTAACAAAAGTTAATATGCTAACACGGTAGCACATTTTTAAGTACACGGTTTTACTATCTTGTACGAAGTAAAAGAAGTATTGTAATGGTGAAACATTTCGGGTGTAATAAGTTCAAAGGAAATGTCTATTTTGACCGTTCCACTTGGACGATTCTTTTTTTGCGAGAAGTCTGTACTTACGGACAGAATAAAGGACTCTTTTTTTTTTTTTTTTTTCCAAAACGGATTGCAAAGTAGATTTTAGCTGGACTTAAAAGAGATTTTTTTGGGACGTCTCTCTATTACATATATAATATTATTAATATATATATATCGCATAACTGAAAAACGATTAGCCGAAGAACGTTGAAATTTTGTACATGCGACTGCTATGACATTTAGTTGTTCATCTCCTTTTTATTGCAATACCCAAACGTTTACATATATATACCACTCAACACCGTACCTGAATTAAAAAGTTCTTACACGGCTTTTAGTTTCGCAACTGTCATATAATTCCAATTACAAAAGTTTTTGAATGAAGAAAATATTCATGTTTTGGCAATGACAGATTAAAAAATATTAATTTTCGACAATAACGAAATCTAACACATATATAGTAACAGTTTGTATATGTTGTTAGTCTAACAATAAATATCTAAGAATATTTAATATCAGTTTATTTTTGTTTTGAAAACTAATAGGCTAAACAGAAAAGTTATTTGGTGTCCACATCATATATTTTATAAATCTTAATGGGTTAAATTTGAGTAATTTTAACAAATAATGTACTTTTTAAATTAAAATAAGATATTTCGATGTCTGCATTTGATTTTTCTAATCCATCTTTTCACCGTCTTGAGGGCAAATTCAGGATAAACGTCTCCAAGATTGAGCTGTAATAAAACATTCACGTCTGTGTGAAATTAACTAATAAGGTATCTTTTATTTTTGCTAGTTTAATAGCTTTTTATTAGCTTACTTTTCTGTTTTTTATTTTATTTATTCACCTGTTACCTTCCAAACTATGCTAATGGAAAAGGAAATATGAATTAAAATGGACTTCTTGTTTTGTCATATTGTAGCTGCTGCAGAAGAAACTAGACAAACTCAGAGCTTCATTGTGCTGGGATATGTTTAAGATTAAATAACTTTAGCAGAGATTAATTAGGATGAAAACTAAAGTAACATCTTTCTTAAGTTTTCAGCTTAGTTGTGTAGTTACTCCAGACTACTGCCCGAGTTTGCTTATTTGTTTTGTCACATTTCACGCTGAAGCATTGATTTGCCAATTACTTTTATTTTCTCAAATTTGTACAGATTGAAATAAATTTATTGTATTTGACTTTAACCGATATCCTGAGAGATAATTTACAAACAGTTAGGCTGAATGATATTCACAAAAAGGGCCAAGTCGAAATAAATTGCTTTAATGATAATAAAGTAAAATCATATATTAGCAGAAAAATTATAAGATAATTTTAACACTTTTAATTTCTCACAGTTGTGTTTCATCACTTAATGAAAAATCTGATGCGTGCACCACATGACTTCCTTGTACGGAATATTAAATTATACCCATTTTTCTTGCATTTCATTTAAAATTATTGGATTGAATTAAATCTACTTCGTCGATAGCGCATAAACCACAATAGAATAAATGCACTCTTTAAAATTCACTATATTCTTTTTTTACCCTATCGACACTCTGGCCCTAGGTTCACTTAACAGCGTTACATTTCATTCATTTTTTAACTCAGAATGCACAAAATTTATACCATCATAAGAATTGTCTAGTCGTTGCCATATGTTCTATTAAAATACTATAATAAATCTAAAACGATGTATAAAACAAATTAAGCAAAGAACAACAACAACAATAATAATAACAACAGCAAAAAAAAAAAAAAAAAAAAAAAAAAAAAAAGAAAGAAACAGTTCTTCACAGACGATTCAGTATTTCTCATTCAATTAATTCAGTTCTCACTTCGCGACAAGGCAAAAGGCGTCTCTACTGAAAATTACGAAGTAAATATTAAACACTTATTTCCTCGAATGAATTCCAGAGTGGATTAAGCATGATTTAATTCGCAATAATAAAAGAAGGCGTTATCTTTCTTGTTGTGAAGCTTAGTCTTTCTAGATTGGCAACAAATCTACTATTCTGCTGTTTCAAACGTAAACAAGCAATGGCCGCCATGGAAAAAATTATTAGGCTTAGCGGCACTTAAACAACTTTTAAATTGTTGATAATTTTAAAAATATTGCATACAGATTTACTAAAGGCATAAAAACCTTAACGGGAAGATAAGAACAACACAATTCAATCATTTTTAAAGCAAAAAATGCACAATTTACAAACATATAAGAATAAAGAAACTGAGATCACTGAGCCGAGTAACAGAGTGGATATATATATATTTGGTGCGGCCGATTGCAATCAAAATTTGAGGTGCACATCTACATGTTATAGCAGTCCTATATATCTCCAAAGGCTCCAGAGCGCCATCCTGAATTTCACTAGTCTTAGAGAGTCTCTCAGTGTTAGAATTCCCAAACCGATAAGGAAATCACTTATTGTCTTTGGAGTGCCGCAGGACACCACGGCTGAGGAGGTAACTACAGCATTTGAGCAGCTTATTCCTCAAGAGTCCCGAGATATTGCTTTCCCTAGAAGACCTCTGCCCAGAACAGACGGTTACAGTAACTGGTTGGTAGATATCGCCTCGGAACATTTTGTCAGAATTCTGAACTGCAAGAGGATATTCATAGGCCTTAATTCTTGCTCTTTCAAAGAATACTTCCAGGTTCAGCGCTGTTATAACTGCCAAGAATTCGGGCACTTGGGAAGAAACTGCAAGTCAACTCCAAATTGTGCAAGGTGCAGCAAAGGACATCTCACAAAAGAGTCTACAACAGACACAGTAAGTTGTGTTAACTGTCAAAATTCTAACCAGGCAAAAGGAACTTCTCACGACTTCCATCACCCAGCCAACTTTTCGAAATGTCCTTGTTACCTAGAAGAATTGGAACGTCTCAGCTTGAACAGAACCCTCCCAATGTAAATTCGCATAGTTTGACTCAAGAATTAAGTAAAATAAGCTTTTTACAATGCAATCTCCA